CGCGGCGGAGGTGATGCGGTTCGCTTGAACCGCGTTTGAGAGTGACCCACCGCTGGAAGAACCGAAACTTTGGCAGAGCAAATACTAGTGCCACACTTCTGAGCCGTGGGCAAATATTTGACCGATTGCAGTGTTTGCGCGCGTGCGCGCTTGTGTGTGTGTGTTTGTGCGTGTTGTTGTTACCAGTAAGGATAATTAGTAGCATTGGTACTCTTTCTTTATGTTGGGCTATAGATCTAGTGGTTCTCAAATTGGGGTTCACGTCACCCTGGTTGTGCTTCAACGCAATTGAGGGGTCAATGAAAAATAAATAAATAATATAAAGCCTTTATATAATGTGGTTTAGTAAATATTCATGTAGAATTGTTGTTTATTAAAATGAGCAGAGCTGAAGGGTATAGACCGGGCACTGGCAAACTAAGGCCCGGGGGCCGGATATATATATATATATATATATATTATCATTACACTTCTGCCCTTTTCCCTGCAATACCCACATTTCCCCTATAGATGGCGTAGAAAATGTTTTAAGCATTTTATCATTTTAGCCTTTATGCATGACTTTTACATGTCATTTATCTGAGTTCACACGAATGCTCCATCTCTCTGCTCCTGACCCAGCCCCCCATCAAATTTTAGGACAATTGTGGCCTACTAGTCTGAAAGTGAACAGTGACGATATTTTTCCTCAATAAAATAAATATAAAGTGAAACGGAAAATATTCATGTCAAGCAAAGTAAGAATATTGTTACACGTAAAATGTTATAATGACAAACATAAAATGACATAATGGACTGAACTGGGCCCACAGGCCTTGAGTTTGACACACGTACAATAGATCATTGAGTTGTTGAATAATAGACCCCAAAACATGGGCTAAAAATGAGATGCGAAAATATAGAATGAAAATAAATAATATATTGGGACTCTAATAGATATAAATATTATTTTTTATTTTAATTTTGTTCATTTCCATGGTCCATTGTTTCCTGGCATGACTTCAATAACCTGAACAACCTCAACCACAATCGGAACAACCTTGAGCTCCGACTTGTGTTTGCGGCATATTGGCGGCAGGGGGGGCAAAAGCCTTCCCAGGTGTAACGCTCACATCCATCACCCCCCCCCCCCCCCCAAAAAAAGAGAGAGAATGAAAAATCTGACCCTCGCACACATCGACCCAGTGTTCATTAGCTTTGGCTCACTGAGACTCAGAACACTCAACATAAGGTCACACGAGGCACGGCTGTTATATATATTTTTAATGAATCTTCTTTCTTGCTTAATGTTGGATGTTGGACAATCAATAGGACAAATACGAGGTGTAGTTTGGTGACGTGTGAGGTGCCCCAACTTTTCTGGAAACCACGTCTATGCATCATTTCATTTCATTTCATTTGTTTATTTATTGCATTATATAACACTAGCGTGTTTGTAGAGAGTTTAGAGCGTGTCCTTCCTGTGTCACTTGAACAGGTTATTGAGCAAAGCTTCAACTCAGGACTTCAACCTCGCAGTGTTCTGCTCTGGTCTGGCAGTTGCTGACAACTGGCACCGCACCGGCGACAAAGCATAGAGAAAACATGTTTTCTCCTGAGGTTGTTTGTGGGCAAATAGTCCTACGCAATGGCTTCCTCTATGACCTTGTGCAGGTCAAGTGACTGAGGCTGAATCATAATGAATGTGTTCATCCGAGCTTCTCCATATGCACCAAAAAGTTTTCTGCTTCTTTTTCTCATTATTATTATAAGCATTAAAAAACCCATAGACTATATAGATATAAAAAAACCATTTTTTTCCTCTATTCCAGACGCTTTGGTTTAGTGGCAGAACATTGTCAGTATAAACTCAAAATGTCATCGTCTGTGTCTCGAATAATAATTGATCATAATTTATTTGTATTTGTGTTTGTTGTTAAATAATCTGTCAGTAAAGTGTAATAAAAATATGAAATAATTCCTCATTTTATTTCCAAATTCTGAAAAATCACAAGCAAAATCAACACTTGAAAACAACTGTCGTAAAAACACGCCTATACTTTTACAACTAATTCAAGTTCTGGTCAATTTTAGAGGAAATGAACTTGGACTACAACGTCTTGCCCAAGGGCACATCAGCATGTAGACCAGCCCATAAACCCCCAAACACGAGAGCAAACGTTAACCAGATGAAATAAGTTCCTGATGATGGAAAGAACACTACAACTTTATAAGTTCCTGATGATGGAAAGAACACTAAAACTACCGCTCATTTATTCATCTTTTTATTAAATGGAAATTTTATTTCTAGCCAATGATATTAACTTAAGAGCAAAAAAAACACAGCAGCAGTTTGCGCTGCAGTGATGCCTTGCTCAGGGATACACCGGCATGTGAACCCGCGTGGTGGGTTATTAAACTGCTGTTCGCGAGAGCAAATACAATTTAAAGTGTATTTCCTTCTTTCTTTCATCATTTCAATCCACTTTTATTTAGAAAAACAAAACCAATAATGGTTGAGAGTGGGTGGGGGTGCGGGGGGGGGGTATATATACACAGTAAAAGGGCATCAAGGTTGAGATGAACCTGTGGCCACGGCACAGGACTGTCATCTCAGGACATGAAGCACCAGCTGCACCAGCTGCAGGGTCAGGGCAGGTTCTTCTATTTAAAGGAACACCGTGTGGGATTAAGCAACACCTAGTAGTGAATTGGCTGTTATTGGCTGCTCAGATCGAAGGAATACTATGGAGTCGGGTGTAGTTTGCGTTGTACTCAAGAAGGCTGTGTACTAGTAGGACGTAAAAATACTTAGCGCGGCGAACAGGAGAACGCATTGACATCATCGAGCACGAAACTATTTTGACCGCGGTACATCGAGCAGCCGTGTACGTGTACGGGAGCTGCTGTAAAACTGAGAAGAAGTATTTGTCCTCTTCTGACTCTGTCTCCTCCTTCCAGTTTTTTGACCCACTAGACTCTTAGATGTCGCTCTGATCGCCGTCTGACTCGATTTATCTCATTTTCTTTTAGTATGGGACA